AATGGAGCTCATTGACCTGCAATGCAACTCTGACCTCAAAGCCAAGTTCAGGGAGATGAGTGGAAAAGCAGACAAGCATGGGCAATTTTTGAGAGAATTGCCCCCCAACATCCCTGAGCTGAACTTCAATAAGTCCAAGTACAGGTCTTAGACTTACTGATGATCATCTTCAAGCCATACTGAGGGTCTCAACTGCTTCCTCTCTCAAGCCAAATGTGGTTCAGATTTGTGAAAAGAAGCGCTGTCAAGTATCTGGCAGCAAGGAGTAGGCAAGAGGAGCCATGTTCAGAAGAACCGTTCATGATTTTCACTCAATGTTCCATTCATGTTCAAAACACTTCATGTTCAGAAGAAATCATTAAAACTGTTAACTGTTAACATTTGAGGACTTTTTTTAAAAAACTTTATTGTAGAATCCCTTACGCGGCCCACCCTCACCCAGACTCTGCCTCCAGTGGCCCCCAGGTAAATTGAGTTTGAGACCCCTGCGATACATGGTAGAAACACGGACGTGTGTGAAGAAAGTACTGTTGACATGAGCTGAGAACACCAGTGGCTACGTCAATACAAACACAGGCTCATTCACCTCCAGTGTGTTGAGTCCTAGGACAAATGACAATGACACTTCCAAAAAAACAAAACAAAAAAAAAACAAACAAACAAACATTAGAAAAGCTGGACAAATTTAATGACATACTGGGATATTTGGACCACACACAAACCACAGATAAAAGGAGGAAAACACCTGCATGGATAGAATTTGTGATGGAACGATACATGAGACATGTACGTGGACCCAAACACAGACCGGAGAAAGGTCAGGCGTGGGCAAACTTCTTGACTTGCGGCCCACAATTGTCCCCCGGGGGGAGCAGATAGATGGAGCGTTCAATAAATGACATGTAAAAGTCTAAGGCTAAAATGCTTTTATCATTTTCTACACCATCTATTGGGGAAACGTGGGTATTACAGGGAAAAGGCAGAAGTATGATAATATAAATAAATTAAATCATTTGGAAAAGTTTGGCAGGCCAGATTAAAAACTAAATGGGCCGCATCTGGCCCCCGGGCCTTAGTTTGCCCACGCCTGAGATAGAATCAGTTAAGTACAATGATTTATTGAATATACATAGTTCACCTAGGCAGGCGGCAGCCATGTTGTTCAGATGAAGGTAGCTGCAGGCTAGTGGTGACGACATGGACGCCTGTCCATGTGGTGAGTTCAGGGACTCAGTGAAGGTGGAGGTGATCCAATGAATTCCATACAGTGAAACACAGTGGAAGGCTCCTAAGAAGCAACAGCAACAGCAACAGCAACAGCAACAGCAGCTCAGCACTCACTAGCAGCTAACCACATGAGCTGCTGTTGTGCTGGGGTTTAAATACTCCTCCTGATAGGCCACACCCCACAGGTGTGTCAGCTCCAATCAGCTACGACTGAGCTCTGCAGAGAGAGAGCCACGCCCACACTCACACACACAAACCTGTAGACACACCACAGCCAGACAAACAAAATCACAAAACACAGTACAGTGAAAAAAAACAATATCTACAGTACACACTGTGATGTAGAAGTACTAACAGCAATTAGGTTAAGTAAAAAAATTAAAAAATAGACTTTGACCTTTTGACCTTTTTTTATCTCCTTATTTATATTAAACAGTAATGACTATCTTTATTCAGGCTGCATCCGCTTTGAATTAACCAAATTACAAGCTAAGTGCGTGCGTTTGACGACGGAGTAAATAAATAAAGCTGTCCTCAGACCCCGGTCCTTCTTGAAAAACTGGGTTAAAGTTTGTCCGGACCATCATTCTGTCTCGATGATCCGTAATTAGGAGACGTGATATATGTGTGTGTCCTCTGGAATGCAGCGCATAATGAGACACTGTGCGCTCTCCGTCGGATGAAGTAATTAACTCCGCTCCTCTGTGACTGTAAAAACGCTGACCACATCACCAGAGTCTGTGTGTTTCTCCCTCTTCCGTTTTTGTCTTCTGTTTGACATCTGTATCATGACTTTATCAGTTCAGAAATAGCTTCAAGATGTTCCTTGAAGGAGGAGAAGGGAGGGGGGAAAAGAGAGAAACGCAGCGGCGCGCGGCGGCTAAAGGTGCGTCAGAGTTCCTTTGTGGAAGAGCAGTGATTTAGCGCCTCAGCGGCCTACACGTGTCAGGGGCGCTGTGACGCCTCGGAGGAGTGGGGTTCACGTCGTCCGTCAGCTGGAATTCACGGAGGAGATGAATTGAGCTGAGGAATCTTCAGTGAGGGAGAAGTAAACACAAGAGGGCAACAGTTTACCAGGGATTTCTGATCGTAGCGTCACAGGAACGCTCCGTGTCATATCAAAACCAGACTCTCAGATCTGAGGAATTAAAGCTATGCTTTTTTTTTTCTTTACACCCCTCTCTCCTCCCCCCTGCTTTCATACCCTTACAAATACTGGCTCCTGCAGCTTTCATCAATAACAAGTCCATGATGACAACATGGCAGCTTTGAAGTGAGAGCAGCCCAACAACTGAGATTTGTATCAAGTTCCTACTCTCTCTATCTCATCAATATGATACATAAGTTGATAAAATGAAGAAGTTTGGTTTCTCTTTAAACCTTTAACCTCAATGTATCTTCTATTAATCAATCTACAGATCAGACCCGGGCAAACTACGGCACGCGGGCCAGACAAGGCCCGCTGGGCGCTCTTTTTCGGCCTGCCAAACTATTATTGCACTGTGGAATGGACTCCTTTTCACAAGGAGACGAACACGCAGCGGTTCGCTGTGAGATACGCTCAGACATTTGTTTCCCTTTAAGGAGACCTGACGAACCCTCGATGGTACAAAGACGGACCTGATGTGCATTATGTCATGGCTCACGCTCCGCAGATCCACATCCAATGCCCCTCCTGACAAACGCATGTCCTAATTTACCACGGGGGCGGCTTGATTCTTCAAACCCTGGAACAGCCCAGGGAGCATATCAGACAAATAATGTGAATAATTATTGGAAATAATGTCCAGATAGATGGAGTGGAGCCAAATTATGAAATCATGCTGCTCTTCTCTCCGGCGCATCGCCCCTGCTCATTATTTGAAGTCATGCGTGGAAGAACAGGTGTTTCTAATACCAGCGCCCTTCATTTTCCTACGATGGTTCAGATATGATATTTCATGGCTGAGGCCGTACAGATGATAGGAAGTGATCGTGCAGAGCCATTCAGGAGACATGCGTGTAATGGATGCTGATTGGCCCCGACTGAATCCCCATGTGCGTGTGCAAATAGAGGGAACCACGGAGCAGCGTTGGAATGATCCCTAAATGCCGCATGTTTCCCCCCTTTTTTTTCCTCCGAGCTTCCAGTGATTACAAGGGGGATTTCTCTGTCTCTTCAAACAGGTGCCATATTTATGTACAACAGCAGTGCCGTTGGCACAAGAGCCTGGCTCTCCGGTCGGCTCATAAACAGAAACAGCAGGAGAGAAACGTTTGTCTTTTTTTGGACCTTTTTCTCCCACTCTTTTGACTTTATGATGGACAGATTGCGTCAGCTTTTGAAGCCCGCGCCTGTGATGTGGACGAGAGCACATGTGTGAGTTTTATAAGCAGGCGAAAGCCCTCCGTGATTAATAATGGTGTCAGTGGTTGGTATTGTTGCCCAGAGGCTTCGGCTGAGCCTGGGTTCACTCCCCTCCAACACTGCAATCAGTGCATTCTTCCACAAAGAACTGTTTTGGTTTTTTTTGTTTGTTTGTTTTTTTCGAATTGGTTTGATTGGTCAATTCCAAACGTTAATTAGCAAATAGCTGTGAAATTTAAAACGGCGTCTGTAAAAACACCATGAAATTGCTAATTCTCTACAGTCAACACTGACGTCTCAGAGTTTTGGAAAAGTTTCCTCAGACTCTAAACAACTCGTGTTTTTCCAGCCTGATCTTTTACAGGTACGTGGTCTCCGTTTGAGACAGACCAGTGGGTTCGATTTGTAAAAGATATGGATGAATTCACCACCTTAAGCTAGCTTTAGCCTATCATAAGCACATCTGTATACGCAAACACTGTTAATCTTAATCTCAATCCCAACCCCAATGATAATCTGTCATTAAATCCCAACTCCAATTTCTAATCCTACAAACCCAAAACGTACTCTCTCACTCTGAAGTAGCAGTATACAAATAATATACCATCTCTCACTCTGAAGTAGCAGTATACAAGTAATATAACACTTATCTTAGGAAAATACTCAAACGTAATAATCTACAGTAAACAAAGTCACGTACATGAATCGAAAGGTTTATTGAGCGTTTTATGTGCTTGGCACCTGTATTTACACTGTAAATGACACAGAAAAGGAAACAAAAAAAAATCAACAAAAAAAATTATTTTTTTAGCTATGTCCCTTTTTTTCACACAATTTTTTTTATAACAGCTGCAAAATTGTTATACTGCTCAGCACTTAAATACACATCTCTAAAAACACGCAACAAAAACATATTTTAATTCATCTGTTTTGCTTCTTTATACCTCTTCACACATCAACTTTAAGCTTATACGACCAATTCAAATATTATATATACATATATGTATATATATATACATTTATGTATATATATTTATATACATATATCTGTATGTGTATATATATATATATGTATAGATTTATGTGTATATATATACATATATATACATATATATACATATATGTGTGTATGTATATATGTATATATATACACATACAGATATATGTATACAAATATATATACATAAATGTATATATATATACATACACATATGTATATAAATATATATGATGTGCTAAAATCTTAGGTCTCAAGGTTTCTCGGTGGATTGTTTATTATTTACGAATATTTCTTAGCACAAAATGGCTGTTTTACATTACATTTAGCAGACGCTTTTATCCAAAGCGACTTACGACGAACAATGTTTTTGAGGCTGTAAATGTTACAGGCGATTACTGTAACATTTACAGCCTCAAAAACATTGTTCGTCGTAAGTCGCTTTGGATGAAAGCGTTTGCTAAATGTAATGTAAAACAGCCATTTTGTGCTAAGAAATATTCGTAAATAATAAACAATCCACTGAGAAACCTTGAGACCTAAGATTTTAGCACATCATATATATTTATATACATATAAAAATATATATACAAATATATAAATGTATACATATATTTGTATTTATATATAAATATATATAAAAAAATATATAAATGTATATATGTATTTGTATATATATACATATATTTATATATGTATATATATATATATACACATAAATCTATACATATATATATATATAATTATTATTATTACAAAAACAAATCCACTCCAAATTGTGAAGTCATTTCAGTCTGTGAGGGAAGTGATGCCTGGACGGTCCTGTCCATGGAGTCGTGTACACCTGCTGCTGGGAGTTTCTGACCTACAGTTTTTCTTTTTCATCCATTCACCCTGTATGCCACACAAACCAGCGTGTCTGACCTGCCATTGTCAGAGACACACACACACACACACTGCTGTGTGTATATGTGGAGCGGTGAGTCACTTGTTAATCTGTCCCAGTTGTCCCTTTCAGTCCGGCCCAAACCACCCACCCTGACCCTGACCCTGACCCTGACCCTGACCCTGACCCCCCCACTGACATTTGTAAAAATCGAAACAACACAAGTGCTTGTGACATGAAAACCTCTGGATCTCACCGCAGGCTCCTTTCACCAGTCCCTGGAGATCGAGGGTCACTTCGAGAGATCATTGCTCCTATTGCACGGCTACATATTCACAACTGATAACTCCTCCTGAACCACAGTCCTCGTCCTTTTTTATAGCAGTTTATAGATGGGTTAATTGTCAGAAACATTAAGATCATCAAGTTGTTTTTTCCAGTTTGACACTTCATTTATATGTAGATACTTAAATAACACCTCGACTTCCTCTTTCCGGCTTTGTAAGTGGCAGAGAGTCTTTTAACGATGAGACCGTGTCCATTTTCACAAAGGAACCTCCGTGAACCGGCGTCTTTGCAAAAACAACATCGATGTGAAACCAAGTCTGTAGAGAAACAGGAAGTGCTCTGACGTCACGGCTCTCAGTTTTTTGTTGTTTTTTTTACACCATGTGCATGGACATCTGAGATGAGGAGCCGTACTGCCGACCGTCGCAGGAGCCACCGCCCTGCTGGCCACCGCCGGTGTTGCCTATCATGTGCATAGTGTCCATGCTTCCGTTGGACAGGTACTGGCGCTCAGCGAAGGCCCCGGCGGGAGTCGAGGAGCAGAGCAGACCTCCCTGAGGTTTCTCCGGGCTGGCAGCCAGACGAGGGGAGGTGGGGAAGTTGTATCCGTACAGGTTGTAAGGGTTGTGCAGGGAGAAGGCGTTGTAGGAGCCCTGCTGCACGTGATGATGGCCCCCGCTGAACATGTGGGCGGAGGAAGGGGAGGTTCCTGATGAGGAGGATGAGGCAGAGGTGGAGCCTCCTCCAGCCTGCATCACGTACTGAAGCTGCGAAGCCGGAAAAGACCCGAGCTGACCGCCGTAGGCTTCCATCTTCCCCCCGGTGCCGCTTCCGCCGCCGCCGCCGGTGAGGGACGCGTGAGTGCCTCCCTGCATACCGGCGGCAATCAAAGAGGAAGTCCTCTGTGGTAGGAAGGACTCAGAGGGCTGAGCGGAGGCCACAGCGCCCCCCGCGGTCTGGAGGCGTCCGTAGGAGCCGTCGGCCAGACCGCCGTAGCCCTGCAGGGCTGCCATGTTGCTGCGAGCGCAGGCTGGGTATTCTGACAGGCCCAGGTTACACAGCTGACTCTCCCTGCAGCCCACGTTGAAGGTGTTGGGAGCCAGGTGGAAGGTGGGGGGTGAACAGGAGGGGGAGAGGAGGTGTGCAGCACCAGAAGGAGAAGGGGTTCCTGTGCTGGAGGTGGTGGGTGAAGTGCCGGTGCTTCCCCCTGGAGCACACGAAGAAGAACACAGGTAACTATCAAAGAGTCTTATTGTTGCACCTCTCTCCTACTATAGGACCATACAGCAATTAAATGGGCTAAAACAGGGGTGTCAAACATAAGGCCCGCGGGCCAAAACTGACACGCTAGGGTGTTAAATCGGAATTTTGAAAATTAAAAAATACAAAAAAAACTTCATGTTCAGGATAATTTTGTAAAATTATATTTCATTAAATATGAATAAATAATAATAAATATCTAATAAAAAAGAGGAAAAAAATGAACTTCTTGTTATTTTCAGTAAATGATGTCATGATTGTAGTGGTCCGGGACACCTGATATCTAATTAGGTTGTATGCAGCCCATGAACCAAGATGAGTTTGACAGCTCTGGACTGAATGGATCAAAACAGGCATGGGTGTGTAAAGAAGGACTAGCCTGGGCCACAGATGGTTTTTAGTTGCAAATTATTCAGATATTTCAAATTCCCAGGTAGCCCAGGCAACATGGGATACACCGTAAAAATGTATCTTTTTACTTTTATCAACCCAGTAGTACCATTCCTCTTAAGCTGTCTAGCCAGTTGTTATACTTATATACAGTCATCTGCAGAAATTTCATCTAATATTTAAATGTTTTTGAAATTAAGAAAAAAAAAATCCCATTTGCACAGATGGAAAAAAATGAAGTCCTGCCCTTTGGATTTATCGCAGACTGTCTGTTCTGCCTGTGCCTGATACAAAATCATGCACCATAACATTAAAGCCATACAGCATGTGGAGACCCGGTTTATGGAGCTGCCCCACGTGTACACGTTAGCACACGCGTCCATCTGCATATGGACTTTTTATCCTTTAAGTGGAGCCTGTCTGGGAAAATTGATAGAAGGATATCAATCGCACGCATACGTCTTTCTATTAATGAGAGTTTGGCTGGAGTTCATTTTGCTGCTGGAGAAACTCAGCTCTAAAAGCAGCGTTCTGACTGGTGCACCACATGCCTCTGATAACAACAGAGCGTCTTCTCAGAGGGGCTTCAGATGGAGAGGGTAGTAGAGCGAGAGAGGGAGGATAAAATTAGGGAAGGAAGAATTATTGGAAGGAGAAAAGAATGAAGGGAGGAGTATAGCTCGATGATGTCACGCTAAAACTTCTTGGGCTAAAGGTGCTCCGCTGGAGGAATTGATTACATGACGTGATGATGATGTGTATGACTAAAAGTGTCCTCCGAGGATGACGCCGAGTTTGAAAAGACCTTCAATCACTTCCTAATAACAACAATCACAGAGTCCTTCTGTCCAGACCAATCACTGAGCTGCTGGATCGTCGTCTCTTTCCTAACCTTTAGCTATATCTGATCTACTGGTCTATTTATATAGCAATGTTGTCGGTATCTTTCAGCCATCTGTTGATTCTGTCTGGCTGGATTCGGGTCATCAATGGAGTCATCGAGTTAGCTAACTGTTCTTCTTGGTGTTCTTTAGGATACCTTAAAACCTCATTGACATTTAAGGTGTTTTTAGGTGTTAGCTGACTTGGCTTCGGCCTAGCGCTACACCAGTGTTTCCTAAACTGCTTTTCTGAGGACCTATATTTTAGAAGTCACAAACAGCTCGAACGCCGCCGGGAACGTCTGTGCTCTGCTAGAATGGTCTGTGAGAATGCAGTCGTGAATGCGATGAGGCCTACTCTCCATTCCACAATCGGTCCCGTCTTTTGCAACATTGTTGCAAGTTTTTAATTGGGTTAGAACGTTGTTCTAGTGCTTCTTGTTACATTGTGTTTAGTCGGTTCTAGAACGCAGCTGAGGTTAGTGGCGAGTTTTTGCGCTTTTGTCTGGCGTGCAGAAAGACAGGAGAGAATGCTAACATGAAATACATTGGCTAAAAAAATCAGAGACATAACCACAGGTGGTGCTTTTAAACTGGCAGCTATTTTGAGGTTGGATGCAGACAGTTATTGCGATGACCATGAACTCCTGGGAAACATGGTGCGACCCACTTGAGGGCCACGACCCAGTCTTTGAGAAACAATACTCTACAGAACTCACTGTTCTCTGGATTTCTAAAACATTTTTCATCTTTTAATTCTTTTAACCTATGCATCACTTTACATGGGATTGCATGCTAAGAACTTAATATAACAATATAATATCAGTACTGTGAACCCATCTGTCAGTTGGACTGCACAGTTCACCTCATTTATTTTTAACTAACACATAACTACTGCAGCTGAGTGGTGTTGTGTTTTATGTCGGACATCCAATAATTTTGCAACCAACTGAACCGAGTCGTTGGTGTTTAGTAGAAATGGGGCAGCACTGTACTGTGTAATACATTACCAGAGTCGGTGACATTTGAAGTCACGTGTATAATGAGGAATAATTTAAGTTCAGCCTGTTGGAAAAGATCCTACTCACACAGACTGGATAAATGATAGGTTTCACTTTACACATCAGTCTGTACACTCTCTTCGCTCTGAGGTGAGGATTTTTCCAGAAGAATTTTTGAATGGCCAGATGTGGACAGTGGTCGTAATGACGCCGTCAAAACCAGATGTGGACAGTGGTCGTAATGACGACGACAGGGTCGAATAAGTGAGACGCCGTCAAACGTCAAAACTTCAACAACCAATCCAATCAATCCCTGATATCGCTGGATGTAAAGGGATTCCTCAGGGATTAGAACACTGTGGTTTGGTTCGGTTAGTTCAGACCAAGGCTTCTACTGCACGCACCTTGTTGCTTTTGCATGTTGGTGAAGTCCTCAAATGTCAGTGTCCTCACGGGAGGTCTCCAAAAAGCATAAGTCTCCATGATGGCCTCCAGGCCCGTCCTGAAAAAAACAGGGAAAAAGAAGTACAGAGCAAATGACTTCATGGGACAAAAAGAATCTGTAAAAAAAGAAAGAAATAAAACAAAGGGGGAAACAATAGAATTTGCATATTGAATGTGTGTGTTGGCCAGATGACATGACCACAGAGAAAACAGTTTATTGGCATTAGAGACTCTTTCTTTTCTCATTTTAAGGATTTGGGCTTCTTGTTTTAATTATACAAATGATCTCCTCAATTCTTACAAGCCTGGTCCTTGTGTGACCTCTGGAGATAACTCGCACACAAGGCTTAAAACACTTCTCTGGGGTCTGAACTCGAGCGACCAGAGCTAGGTGCTAACAGGAGTAGGTCAGGTTCAGATCTAACCAAGTGGAATGACATCTGTAACCACTGGGATTGTTATCTGACTTAAGCGTTTAAAACTGGTCAGTGCTCTGAATACGGTTCTTTTATGAACAGAAATACTGCAGTAAATGACAAGAGCAACAACAAAAGTCAAAGTCAAAGTCAGAACTCACATACAGTACGTCAGTAAAGTATCATAAAATAAAAACATATATGATAAAAATAAAATGATTTAATATTTTTATAATTATTTTATGATACATTTTTATAGATATATATATATATATATAAACCTTCAGATGCTTTTTTGCTCTGAGACCAAATCTGTTCCTTGCCAAATATATATTGGTATATATAGCCTGGACGAGGCTGGAAGCAATACATCCTGTGGTATGGTTGGGGTAGTTATAAGTAGTTATTTAATTTGTGTACCATATGTAGTATATATTATTTATGAGGGTGAAAGAAAACAGTCGAACACAGGTGAGAGAGTTTAAAAGACATATGCGAACAGAAATACGGAAAAAAGAGTAGAGAGTATGTAAATTAGAGGTTGGAGGTAAATTAGTCCGACTGACAGAGAGAGGAAGAGAAACCAGAGTCCAGCTCTGAGGAAACTGGAGCCATTAAATAAAAAAAAGAGCAAGCTTTTACAGTGCACATAAATCTGAGCCATGTTTCATCTTGAATCTGTACACGTTTCTCCTTCCTGCTTGATTTACTTCCCTGCTTGCCTCTCGGCCTCCGTCCCAGGGTTAAAAAAAACCCCATCGCCCGTTGCCCGTTGTGTTATTTTAGTGCCACTAACGCTCTGGCTGCAGCAGCTCGTTAGTGTACCACACTAATCTGCCCAGGCTTCGCCATCACTGCATTCATTCATGGAGTCCGACTGCGGCAGGATCGAAAACCTAACAAATGAGCTGTATCCCTCAGCTGTAGGCCATAAAGACTGTTCCACACACACAGGGCTACAGCAGGAAATTAAAAAAAAAGCTGAAGGGAAATACTATATAAAGAAGCTGTTAGAGATGTCAGGAGAACGCATTTTCAGCGTGAATAAGTAGAACAGCTTCACCTTTTAGAACACATAATATTTAAAATGTGCCCTCATTTTGGAACTGGCCTCAGCAACAAACCTGGTTAGAGACAATGGAGCTGAGTTTAATTCAAATAAATGCAAGTCTTGAATTTCTACATAGGAGAAAAAATCTTGTTTGACATGGCTGTGAATTATCATAGTCATGTTAGTTCTTCTGATTGAGATTTCAGTTTACAGAATAATTGATATGGATTTATTTATGGACAAGTATCCAAAAGTAGCAAAAAAAGCTAAAGGTTAGCCTGAGTAGTTTGGTAGATTAGGTGAACTATAACAACAAAAGCTGAGGGTCCCGACCCAGTCTTTGGGAAACACTGTTTTAGTGGACTATATTTTTGCCTGTTAATTTTTAAAATGGGGTGAAATCGATTTAACATCATTTTCTACTTCACAGTCTCTCCTTAAAATGTGCGATTTAGTCCATTTTCTTTTAGACTTTCATTACTTTGGAGTCCTTTTCAAACCATTGTAGTCTCTGGTTCAAAGGATCTTGGATGTACTTCCCGTGCTTTGATCCAGTTTTTAATAACAGTTCTATAGCGCTGCCTGTGAAAGTCCCAGGGCTGCATATTAGGAACCTGAAAAATCAGCAAAAAAAAAACAGTTCTCGCTCTCATAATAGATTGTTATATTTAGCTTCAATGTCATTTCCAGCTTCGTCACAGTATCAGACACACACTAATCCTCCACAGAGTGACCTCAGTGGATGAGGCCAGTTCTAAGTCCTATCATACTCTGAGCCAAGACAAAAGCCAAATGGAGGTCAGGGTTAAACATCTGGGAACTAATAGCGTTCAAAATGATCAAAAGAAAAAACAAAACAAAAAAAAAAGTCCAGGAAAGGATTTTTAAGGTGACAGTGTCTCGGCCAAAATCCTGCAAAGATCTAACTAGAGTCACAAAAAAAAAGGCTAGCCAGACTTGAAGGGGAGGGAACCACAAGAGAAACGTGAAGAGAAATTCAATTCTCTCACTCCTCGCTCGCTCTCCTTATCGTTTCATGTGCGGTGATTGGCTCAAGAAATTCTAATGCCACTCCATAAATCAAATGCTCTATTGTTTGAAAAATAAGAAAAGATGTCTTAAAATGTCTGTGTGCCAATAATGTGGAGCAGATGAAGGGCCTGCTTTCATGTCGGAGAAGGGTCTGGTGGCTTAAGGCTCTCCCGCCTCTTCCCTCAGCGAACGTTACATATGATAATCAGTAATGGATGGAACTGGGAAAGAACGGAGGAGGAGGAGGAGGAGGAGGAGAGAAAAGAAGTGTAACGGACAAGGAAGAGCTGAGAGACAGAGAGGTGTTTGAGAACGTCTTACTAAAAATCTGTTTTCTTATTATAAACCTAAGAAGCTTCAGCTACATTGTCAGCGGCCAATAGGAACACGGAGCACATGCGATGACATCAGAACAATGGCAGCTCAGGAATGACAAAGGAAAAAGCAGGACCAATTAGTGCGGCGTTTTTCAACCTTGGCGTTGTTGTGGCCCGATCGTTTTTCAACCTTGGCGTTGTTGTGGCTCAAACTTGGGGTCGCCTGGTGTCTAGTAAATGTTGATTTTTAACTAATCATTAAAAATGACTTCACTTAACGATCGCGATCACAGGAACCACTGCTAGAACACCTTCTATGACAGAATTAAAAAAAAATCTAATTTAAAACCTCCGTACCAAAAAAGCTAAAAATAAAAATCAGTCCGAAAAGTAATTATTTCAAATTCTGACCAAGTGACAGATTTCTGGAAACACTTCTTTCGGAAGTAATCTCTGCAGACTTTTACCTGCATCTGTGGAATACTGTATTACGAACACTCAACTTTGAATTAAAAATAAAACTGTTCCTCCTGAGACGAAGAGCCTTCAAACCACTGCAGGCACTGATTTGGTGATTTGCAGGTCAAAGGATGTCTAGACGTCTGAGGCTAAAATAAGCTAAATTACATGCAACCATTGTTCCAATGGTATTTTACGACTGTAGTATATTTCAGACAGAAACTGTTCCTAAGTATGTGTTGGCAGAAATTTATGGTTTGTTATATTCTAAAAACAATCCGAAGAGGGAGGGGTACAAAGTAAACGCAACATAAATTCATTAGCACTTCATACGATCGCACGCTGTTTGTAGTGTCGACTTTTACCCACTGAATTTAAGTCCAGTTATTGAGTCATTTTGGATTTAAAGCAGCTTTTAATGCCTGTACTCTGAGATGTTTTTTATTTTTTTTGCTGTGATTCTATTCCTTCTGATCAGAATATGATAACCTGTAATTGATCATCTAAAGCAGTAGTTTTCAAAGTGGGGACCAGAGGCTTCAGAAAGGCTTGGTAGGATAAGGAAAAAAATGCAAAAAAAACCCCAACTAATTATCTTTTATTTTTACAATAGTAGGATAAGGAAAAAAATGCAAAAAAACCCCAACTAATTAGCAGAAAAAGTGTTTGATCGTACCTGAACGCAACATGTGTGACATCTCCAACTGTGGCCTGTGTAGGCCTGGTAGTTTGCGCCTGTTATCAAGCTGCTCTGCTACTCAAGCTAGCTATTCGCTAGCACCAAATGGTCAAGACATAGAGTGAGGGAGCAGGCCATATACAGTCCTGAAAACTTGTTAATAATAAATAAATAAGGAAAATACATTCTAAAAGTTGATTTTTTTTTTTTTACATATTTTGTAGCATTGTCTGCTAACAGCATTAGCCAGAAGCTAATGCTGTTTGGGGGCCTTGGCATGGAAAGGTTTGGGAACCACTGATCTAAATCGGGTGTATTAGATGACAAAGTTGCCAGATCCTTGCCAGATTTTTATTTACTACTGTTTCCAAAAGCAGAAAAATTGAGAATCGGTTCTTCAGCCAAGACAATTTTTTTCCTACCACTTTGTTTTCCTCTACTAGTAAACTTTTAGGAGCTCAGACTCAGCGTTCAAACTATCTGACACCTTTTACAAGTCAACAAGTGAACAGAAATAGTAAGAAGATTAACCGATGAAGACACAGAGCTCAGTTACTCTAGTCAGTTTTATCGACTACCCTTCAGCATCTAAAGAAGACAAACGTTGACATGGGTGCGCTCTAACAAGCGACCCCGTCCACCAAAGTCTCAGCTTTGTGCAGATGTGAATTGTTCCTCTTGGCATCAGCCACAGCAGCTGTTTTTATATAGAACAGCATATGGATCGAAATGCTAACTTCAGAGGAGTATTTCCATATAAAAGGTCACAGACGAGAAAGAAATAAGACTCGTGTGCAGTTCAAAAAAAAAAGAAAAGAAAAAAGAAAAGAAAAGCTTGTACTGTGTGACTCTAGGAGCTCATTCATCAAACAGATGGAATACGGCGTTGGTGCGGTACCTGTTTCTGCCAGAGTCCCTAAACCCCTTGGCGAAGGGGTTACGATCTATCTTTAGTCTGGTGATCTGAAAACAAGAAGAATCAGAGTTATGGTAGGGGTTTTCGTGAAAGAGCAAGAGAATCCCAGAGATCCCTTAACTAGAACGGTGGTTCTAAAATGAGGTCTCCGACTGTCCGACCGTACTGGGCTGATGTTTTAAACAGCTGGACAAAATAGGCTAGGGTCCTGGTTTGTACGTACTGGAGAACCCAGTGACAATTCTAATGTAGGGAGCATGGGTCGACTGGTTGTCCAGATATACTCACTGGTTTTATAAAGGCAACTAACTGACGTAAACTGTAGATGTGCACAAAGAGCTCAGATGAAAACACTAGGTTTTAGCCGTTAGTGAGGCGGCAGTGCAGACCTGCTGGTTCTGGTAGGCAGTGACGGTGGTGAAGACCGTCTCAGGGAAGCTAAAGGTTTTCACTCCTTCCCCAGTGGGTACAGGTTTATTGGGAGACAGCTCACTGCTGAAGTCCTTCCTGATGACGTGGACACGAGGCTGGTACTTGTGCATTGAGTGAAGGATGATCTGGAAGAGAGGACACAGTATTAGCTTTATTTGATTGACTTTGGATTTAGTCAGTAAAAACAACGACTAAGATGAAGGACAAAGATAAATACGAACCACACAGAGTCAGCTGCTAAAACTAAAACTCATCTTCAAAGGCCTGGTGATGTAAGAATTAATGACACGTGAAGCCGAGACCGCAAACCAGAAACTCCTCTTTCTCGTTTTTCATCATTAACCGTGGTTTTCAATGCAAAAGAATCCTTTTGATTAATTTGCTACACGCTTTGGTTTTCAATGCAAAAGAATCCTTTTGGTTCATTTGTTACACGCTAAAAAAAAATAGTTTACATAATTAAAAAGATGTTTCAAGATGGTAAAATACTACAGTATGTATTATTTCAATAAACCACCTAGAACAGGCACGGGCAAACTACGGCCCGAGGGCCAGATGTGGTCCCTTTGGCCTTTTAATCCGGGCCGCCAAACTTGTTCAATTTATATCAATAATTTATATTATCATCATACTTCTGCCTTTTCCCTGCGATGCCCGCAATGTGTGTGTGTGGAGTGTATCCGTTAGCCGCATACATCTCCTCGTCAGATCTCCTCAACTCTGGGCTCACACTGAGATGACGCTCGCTGAAGGGCCGAGGTTTATTTCACAGCAGAACAGAGGCGTCAGACTTTGCCTCGCCTCGGGCCCTGGGTCTGTTCCTGATTAATCTGAGAGTGAGAACACCTCCCCAGAGTCGAACACCAACACCCCCCAAACTGTGCTTTCCCCACCATGACAGAGGGGGTCATTTCACACCAGGCCCGAGGGGGAAACAACTGAGGGTATCAGAAACACTGCATTTAAAGTCCTAGACCTCAAATCCCACACAGTGACAAATGTACACATTAGACACACTTGGACCAAAGAGTGGAGCAGAGAGACACAGATGCCGTCTCTCTCAGCGGCAATACCCGATACTTAGAGGACAAAAGTTGAACAAAGCGTGTAGAAAATTGGGAAAACTCACAACTTATCACAACTCAGGCTGATTATTATTAAAGTAGTCACATTTTTGACCTCAGATCCCATTATTGATGAAGGTTTGCTGTTAGCAAGCAAGTTGATTGACCTCCTCAATCAGGCATCGGCAAACGTTTTGACTCGTGGGCCACAATAGGTCCTAAGGTTCGACAGGGAGGATAAGTCAGGAGCAGAGAGATCACAAGTGTCAAACTCAGGCCTGGGGGCCAAATCTGGCCCACAGTGTAATTATATTTGGCCGGCGAGATATCTGGTACATACATCTGATATCTGGTACCAGAGTTGGCCTGTCAGTATATAGGCCCTATAAAGGCAAACGGGCCACATACGGCCCCCGGGCCTTAGTTTGACCATTCTTGTTCTAAGAGTATAAATATGACATCAGTGGATCAGAAACATTAATAAATATATTCATAGACAAAATAAACACTAACTAACGTAATGGAGTGATTTCTCACTGGACGTTAAAACCTCTGTGTCTGCCACGGACGAGCAAACCGATGTAACAACTTCACACTTACTTTGGCACAAATCCCATTAGAAGTGCGTACAGTTGTGACGTTCCAACCTAATTCCCTTTTTTGCGCTTGCTTTCATACACACCAGAGAGGTGATGTAAAGTCAAGTCAGATCACAGCGCTGGACTCACAACATTCAAGTCGGAGAAGAGTCAAACATGATTAGGCTAACCTGGTGTTTTTATAGACACGACTGGTAATGACGTTCTTAAAAGGCCTTTCTGAAAACAAACAGGGAGAGACACGAACACATCCTGCAGATGTTGTCTGTATCGACCCTAAAACGGGATTCAGCTCCAGTCTACATTTTGGCAACGCTTGCTTTTCAAACACAGTTAGAGACACTTTAATGTTCCGTGAACAAAGAGGATTATCTGCAGGCTGTTTAAGAAAAAAACAGATTTTCACTGTGAAATGTTTCATTAAAAACATGAACCAAGGAGAATACTTGGATTCCCACAGTGACAGAATTAGAAAAATGTCCATTTCTAAGCAGCCGGATCCTTTAAACCAATGAAAATCACCCAAAGTTCCCAGGCTTGAGCAACAGAGGGGACACATTGCTGAGCAATCACTCATCACATTAAACAAATGAAGCTCTGGCTTTGTTTACACTAGGAAATAAATGACAGGTGAAATAACGGATCAAAAATAACATTTTCCAAGACTAATATTCTTTGGATTACAGTATGACATAAATAACACCAGCTATAAAATATGACATACTATGTACTGTATAATACAGTATTATTTTCTTGAGCAAAATGACTAGTACTGTTAATATTCCATATTTTCACTATTTCAAAATGTTACTTTTGAAATAGTGTAGACACCATGATAGACCAGTGGTGTCAAAGTTTATTATTTTTTATTTTCACCAGGGGCCACATCAGCAGTACAGTTCCCCTTAAAGGGCCAGCTGTATAGATCAGGGGTCCCCAACCCCTGGTCCGCAGACCAGTACCAGTCCACAGGTCATTTGGTACCTGGCCGCAGTGGGACACAGTGCAAAACTTTACTTAATTTTACTAATTTGCTTCATTCAGAAAGAAAATCCAGTCATATCCATTTACTTCCTTAAAAATAATCTGGCAGTATTTGAAAATAATAGGTCATTCTTAAAGACTTTGCTATCAGTCTGTAGTAACGGGTGGTAATACCAGTCCAAATACAAATATTGTTCAATGCTGTGTCATTATAAAAAACCTTCAAAACTTCACTAAATTTCATAGATTAAGAAACTCTGCTGCTAGGACTTTACTAAATGCTTCTTTAAAGCTCCTGTGGGCCACAAAAAATGGCTTGACAGGCTGCATTTGGCCCCCGGGCCTTGACTTTGACACACGATAGACGATAGGTTATACCAGAGAAGAGAAGTTTTGTATTTAATTCTTGCATTAATTCCTGATAAACGTAAAGATTCTCCATAGACGATGGAGCACAGCTGCCAAAGGGAAGTGAGGATAAGGTGTCGTTCAATCACTGCTGAGCTCTTTCTTTTCTGACAGATGGAGTGAGATGTCTCCAGGACAACCTGCAGATCCCGTCATCGTGGCATCACAAACAGCTCGAGACATGGTTTTATCAGCATGGGGAGGGGGGGACAATAATGTTCCATCAGAGACATTATAAATATAGTTTTTCACACTGACTCTGCTGCTTCTACTCCGCACCGGGGACTTGTGTTGATTCATGACATGCATGCATGTGCTCATGCAGCTAGGCACGTAAGGGGTCTGTTTCTGATGAGGCAGATGATTCACAACACCCACCAGTCAGGAGGGCCGAGAGAGAAGTGGAGAAGTTCACCACACAGGAAGCTCGGAAATTAATTTCCTCTGGCCTTTCAACTCACCCAGAGGAGGAAACGGGCCTTAAAGTGAGCAGCAGGACATGAAAGAGTCTCTCCTTCACACACTGAAGGTACGCTACACTGAGGTGCTGAGAACCTGACAGTTCTTTAAATGTTCACTGTCATTTTTGAGTCCCGGTGATATCACAGATGCTCTAAGGTTCTTGTCTTTGTCTACAAATCACTCCAACATCTGGCTCCTGATCAACTCCTAAACCAACAACACTGCAAAATATTGGACACACATCTCCTCTGGTTTCCCTCCTCCAGGATCTGCTCAGTTCTGCAGACCCCAAACTCTGGGCTAGTTAGATTTACTGTTGTGCACTGAAGGCACGGCTTTTAACCAGGACTGATCTTATAGGAAATAATAACAGATCCTATGGTTGAACCTCTGGAGATGATGTGAAGGTTGAGATGGTTCTGACACATGTCAAAACCATCTCAACATCAAGTTTGTTCAAAGGAACAAAGGAGAGTTCATAGTCGAGTCTACATTTAGCACACTGATGAATATAATGATAAATGTAGCCTTTTTACAGCAACTCTTTTACAGAAACCATGACCAAAAAACTTCTTTTTTCCACCACTCCTTTTCCAAAACCCATGCCCAAAAAATTTCATTTAAACTAAAAAAAAAAAAAAAAAAGGAAAATTACTACAATTCTATTACAAATCAGAATTTCTAGTGGTGGGTGCCAATTTAAAAAAAAAAAAAAATTCAGCCATCTCATTAACTTGACCCAAGTTTACCCTGACCTTGACAATAGAACATCAATGGATGGACATTTTTTATTATTATTATTTTGATGTACAGTCCATTCCTAGCTCTCCTGGTCTAACACAGCTACTTCAAAACGGTTGAATAAAAAACTGTCTTTGGACTTACATGTCCCTGATCGTCCAGTTCGTTGTTGGTGAGTTTGAGTTTGTCAAAGCTGACCACTTGTCTCATCCATGTGTCTCCTGAGGCCAGTGAGTCCGGGTGGATGTAGACCCGTGGAGGAACTGGAGAGTCGGCATTACCAGCCACCATCCATTTTGAGCTGTGATACACATATCTGTTGGACAGGATGGGAAAAAAAAAAGGAACATTATTCAAATCTCAAAGATCTTTCTTTTTTTTTACCATTGTTTAGTCAGTGAATTCTAATTGCTCTGCTGTGGCCATTTCAAATTTTGATTGGTGCGGAAATGATTATTTATTTACTGCAAATTATTTTTGTTCATCAGTGCAACAAAGACACAGATCATTTTTTTAATCTTCCACTAGGGAGCAGCAGGCAGCTAGAAAACAAAAAAGAGAGACTCGGAGCTGTTGAAGAAGGTTTTTGTGAGTGTCTTTCTTAAATTCCTGTTAGTATATCTGGGTTGTGTTTAACTAAACACGAGTGTTTAATACCAAATCAGTAAAAATTGCAAGTACATTGAAAATATAAGACCACTGTATTTCATTTCATATACTTTTTGGGATATTTTTAAAAAATCTTTTTTTCTGGGGACCCATATTTTAAAAGTCACAAACCATCGCGACCCAAGTCAATAGACATTAATTGTAAACTAATGGGAAACATAATGCGAGACGAACCCCAAAAAAAATTTGTTGCGACCCACCTGAGGGTCACGACCAACTTTTTAGGAAAATTGTTTGCATGTTAACCAGGTTAAAAACAAAAGTCTTTACATGATCAATGATCATGACTTCTTTTGACCGAAGGAGACTTTTTTTTGTTTTTACTGCCTCCTACTGAGCTGATGATAAGTCAGTGATTCTCAAATCATACATTACAGAGGTCAGCTCAAGTTTTGTGGCTGTGATACACATATCTGTTGGACAGGAGGGGAAAAAAAGGAACATTATTCAAATCTCACGGCAAAAAAAAAAAAAAAAAAGGTTTGCCTGTCTTGATGCCTATTTTCTGTAAACAACTCAGTGAATCTCAGTCCTCACTTAAGTCTTTTGTGCTTATTAAAAAAACACACACATCTCCACCATCTGTTACTTTACAGTTAATCGCTCCAGTTATGCCACGTTGCCGGCTCACACAAAGAAACCTAACAACAGTGACATAAATAACTCCATATGTAGGCGCACTCACTCAGCTGTGCAGTTTCAATTAGGCAAAGCCATAACATCGGCGGATGTTGGTGTGAGTGTTTGGCGTCTTATCTATTGAACAGCAGGGAGAGACGGGGGGAAAAAAACAGAATTTTGTCTATGTCTTTCCAACAAAGGAATAAGTGACGATTTTTGCATTGTTTAAAAATATTTTATATGAAACCTAAAACAGCTGGGTGTAAAAGTATTGTTATTTTAGGAGTCTAAGAAAAGAAAAGAAGGAGGTAGGAAAAAAAAGGACATTTTTCAGACCCAGTGTCTTATGGTTATGGTCCGTCCAAGACACATTTCATTCTCAATTAAACAGTTTAAAAAGTGATATTTTGGGTGGTTGAGAGCTGATTGAACATATACACATATATTTTCTAGAGGGCCAGGAAATGGCCCCTCCCCTGTTTTTTTTGGAAATGGGGTCGGAACCAGCTGGAGGTTCCAAAAACGACATCATGGTGACTTTGTGACAACAAGTTGTGGGTGGTCAGTGACGGGGTGGGAACGTGGGAGAAGTAAAGATGATGGACAGAGAAATTCAAGTAGGTAGACAGGAGAGAGCGAATCACAAAAGAAGAGAAAGAAAATGCATGAGTGTGTGTGTGTGTCAGTAAAACACAGCTGTTTGCCTTTAGTTATGGCGCGCCGCTCGGTTAGAAAGTGTTTTATCTGCGACGTCGCTGCCAAAGTCATCGCTCAACCCTTAAACATGGACAAAACTCTCATTTGGTCCCTTTTGTTATTGCCACAAAGGGCTGCACCACCCCATTACATGCACGCACACACACACACACACACACTCATAAAACCTAAGTACATTCCAACATACACAGAAATACATACTCAGCCTCTTTCTGCCACAGCGAACACAAATACATACAAACGCTAAAAAAAATATATACTGGGGCGTTATTTTTTGTTTTGTTTTTTTTCTCAGGAAGTTGGCGCACACACACACAGCTGCCCTTTGGCAGCCATTTTGGATTGTGTTTTATACATTATATTTCGGCTTCAGCCTGGACTGTTGGGCTATAATTTGTTTTCCTTACAGACTTATTTATATTGTTTAAAGTTGAAGTACGACATTTTTCCTTTTTATTTTTTGTTGTTGTTAATGGCAGTTTTTCTTTTCTTTTTCTATTTTTTCTTTTTTTTATTTGTTCTCCAGTCAATATGCATTAATTGTATATTGCATTGTGTCACACATGACCTATGCAGTGTTAAATGACAATCACCTTTAGGTTAGCTAAAAGAGGGTCAGAAGAAGTCAGACAAAATGATGGCTAAATGTTGAAACTGATCCAAAATATAGCACAAATAAAGCAGAAAATATCATTTAAAAAATAATGCCAAACACTGCAATCAGATCAACCGAAAATACAGCAACAGTAGCTTGAACTTGGCTAAGAGAAGGATGAATGGTCAGTCTATTGAAGCACAAAGATGGTTCTGGAAGTAGCCAACTAGCTAGCCAATAACAATAACATAAAATATAAAAAGTTCAACATGAGCTAAAATTAATGAAATTAATTTAAATTTGAGAGATCAACATTGTTTGTAAGGGAAATCTGTAAATATAACAAGAAACAACAAATACTTGCTCATTGCTAAAACTAGCATTAGCTAAACCAAAGATAACTTAGCACAGTGTTTCCCAAACTTTTTTTCTGGGGACCCATATTTTCAAAATCACAAACCTTCACGAATCAAGTCAATAGATATTATTGTAAACTAATAGGAAACATGATGCAAGACGACCCAAAAAAAATCTCTTACGACCCACCTGGAGGTCGCGACCCAGTCTTTGGGAAACAATGACTTAGCAAACTAGAAAAATAGAAATAACATTAACTTTACTTTTTTAAATAGGTGTCTGAAATAAATATAAGAAATAGCAAAAACCTTAAGCAAAAACTTAAATTCTAGCTAAAAGCTAAAGAAAACGTAGCCATAATATAAGACAAGCTGAACAACACGCTGTTAAAAACACCTTCACAGAACAAAAAGTCAGCCAAAAACTCAGTTATAACAGCAACAAAATATTTGAACTAAGAGCAGAAACTTTATCTCCCTCAAATTCCCCTCCTCGCACAAACACAACGTGTCTGTGATTTCCTGTTTGCAGCTCTGTTTAGGTTGATTCTCCACAGAGCAGGGAAAGTGTTAAGGAAGAGGGAAACTTTAGCTCCAAACAGGACTGGAAATCTGATTAGTCTCCCCACCCAGTGTCCAACCCTCGCTTTCATCTTCCATAAATCTGCCATCTGGCACCGACACCATCAATAAAGAGTGGACTTTATGTGACACTGTTACTGGACAGACAGGAGGAGAGGGGGAGCGGAGGTGAGGAGGAGGAGGGTGATGAAGAGGAAGACGGATAAAAATGACTACAATCTCCTAACTAAACTAAATGACCTCATGCTCTAATACAGGCAGCTATGCAAATAAAAACACATATTTACACACTTGCCATGCTGAGCCAGTGTATAAAGTTACTGTACTGACTGCAGTGTGTGGGTGTGTGTGTGTGGGTGTGTGTGTGTGTGTGGGTGGGTGTTGTCCGTAAGAGAATACACTCAGCTTTGCGTAAACACGTGTCTGCTCTTGAACGTCTGTATTTATGGGGACCAAATGTGCCCGCGTCCACAGATGTGTGACTTCATTTCACCTCCTCTCGCTCGGCTCCAGGGAGTCAGGTTTAGTTTATTCTAGTTCATTAGAATAATCCTGGATCGAGTTGTTTCCAGAGAATGGAGGCAACGGGGTATCGTGACAGAAATTCCTGTGGTGTTTCTAATTTAAAGCTTCGATGTCTGTACATTTAAAAAAAAACAAAAAAAACCCACATGTTCTCTCAAATATAGATTAACGAGACAGATATGAAATACATTCCAGCAGTCGGGTCGATTATAAAAATAACATCAAATGCATCGCTCCCATGTGTTTTTGTATTTGTTATATTATTTATCTCCAGTGAAGTCAATTTAAGGATTTAGAGGTACTTTAATTTTAAATTATTTTTTATTATTATTTTTATTTCTTATTCTTGAGGAGTGGTTTCTAAACTCCACAGGGGCAGAATTTAAATCTGATTTTGAGTCTGAAGAAAATTAAAATGTTCTCTGTTATGAAAGGTTCCTGGATTGACTTGTACTTTAGTTGCAAACCAACACGCCACAGAATTATTGTACAATTCTTAACAGCTGTAAAAACTCTAATGTCTCACTAGAGATCACGTATAACTTCTTCTCACAGTAGTATTTTACATTTTTTATATATATATATATATAATCTAAATCCTCATGCTGCATAGTGAGAAAAATGCAATGTTATTGTTAATGTTTTTTTCAAACCTGGAACATGAAGCCTGTCCTTCTGCCCTGCGGGGGGAGCTATTACATCACAGTGTGAAGGCTCTGTTCCGTGAGTTACTGTTGGTCCCACATTATTGTTTCCTAGACAAAGGTTTAGTTTCAACAAGTCCCTCGAATTACAAAAAAAACCTTCAACCACAAATGTAAACCCTAAAATAATACGTAATCTATGATTATCCCGTCAAATACCACAAAACAACACGACCCTGGATGGTGTGGCGTCCCTGCGTGACTGAAACGCAGGATTACAGAGACAAATGCCTATTGTTTTTCTATTTTTACAGTTCGAGGATGAGAATGAGACATTTTATCAGTCGCCACGTCTACGAAACATATGGAGGTTGTCACATTAGTTCAACGTCGAATTACGGAATTTGATTTTGGTTTAGATGTGGTTTCCAGATCAGATTTAGCCTGCAGAGTGGTTTAGGTTAAAAACAATGGTCCTAACATGTATAGAAACATGGAGGCCTGTTGGATGTGTGTTGTTCCTCCTCCAGATACGCCTGTTCTTCTATTTTTGGACTTATTAGGAACAAATGTGCCACTAACGTGGATTTGGAGAGGGACAAATCTTCGAGCCTGATGTTAGAGCTCCTCGCTCTGAGACACAGCTGGAAGAATGAGGTAACGCTGAGGAGCCAGAGCTGCCGCCATGTTTGAGTCAGAGTCGCTGCGGAGCGGAGCGAGCGACAGTCCGCATTAAAAGAAGCGCCTGACAAATGGAGATTTAATGAGCGCGGCACCAATGAGACGTGGCTAAAGAGCGGGCGGGAAGCCCGAGTAGAGCAGGTTTGATTCCAATAAAGGCCAAGTTTCCAGAACCTCCAACACTCCTCCAAACCTTCAACCGTCTGTGAAACGCTGCAGCGACAGCTCAGTCTGAAAAGCCCTGTGGTGAATTCCCCAGCCAGGAAGAAAATCCTATTTAATTTTACAAGCTCTCAAGGCCTCTGAAATGCCTCCCTGATGTCTTGGTTCACTGGTGGGGGGCAGAGGGAGGGGGCAAGAAGACAAGAAGCAGCCTTCCAACCTTTGCTGTTGGAAAATTTACGTTGAAAACCAACGATGTGAAATGACAGATGCAGGAAACGCAGATTAAACGCACGCTTCGCAAAAGTCACTCTAGGTTTGATAATCTGTCCATTTTTCTCAGCAGACGTTTGTCTTTAATTTCGGTCCGACCTGCTTTTTTCCGTCCTAACACTTATTGTGAATTGTCTTGCCGTGGAGGCGGTAAAGAGAGAGCATTTCCTCCTGGGATGCCGCAGTTTTGTTTTGCAGTCCTGGATGGGAAATATATGTGTGCCATGTCCTGGTCTCTAATCATGAAGTCACTCCTAGCATAGCAACGCAGAAAAACAAAATATTTCGCTGTAAACACGCTTTATGTTGCTGAACTTTCTGCACTAACATGTGCCCGGCAGCTGCCAGGAGAAGCCGAGCCACAGCTGATGCTGTTCTGAAAAAAAAAAAAAAAAAAAACCAGCAAAGATTCAGCTGGATGGCAGCGTGTGCAGGCACAACAGCACCTGTAGCTGGCGATCAACTTCACTGTTGAAAGGCTACGTTGTTTGGTTTCTTTACAACAGTGGTTCCATTTTTGTTTTCTGGGGATCCAAGTCACAAACCTTCACGACCAAAGTCAATAGACATTATTGTAAACTAATGGGAAACATGACGCAAGACGATCCCCCCAAAAAACGCTTGCGAACCACCTGAGGGTCGCGACCCAGTCTTTGGGAAACGATGCTTTACAACACTACAAATACAAATATTTTTGATGCCCTGCAGCAAAAAAACGTTTTCTTTATGTCATGTTTTTGCTTGTTAATTCGTCCATGTTACTCCGTACTGCGCCTTAGCAAAGTCTTGAGGTGTGAGATTTCTGCTAATGTTGAAGGGCACACTGCATGCGCAGGCGGAAACGCAACATTAGCTGTTAAGCACTGCCTCAGAGAAGTGGTGAATTTCCCAGATCCTACTGTAGAACTCCTAAAACCTAAAGCTTGTCCATTTTATGAGTCTTTCTGTCACGCTCCTCCATTAGGAAGGATAAATGTGAAGGATAGAAGTCGGTTCGTTCGCTGCTAAAAGGAAAATATTTACGAGCCGCTGATAACATTTTCGATCTCGACCGCTCCACTTACTTCCTCCTCTCTGTCTGCCTGTCCTTAGATATTACCCAGCCGTTCCAGTGACCACATGAAACATCCACAGCGTCTCTCTGCCGCAGCAGGTATAAAGTACATCTCCATATCTGGCCTCTTTTTTTTTCTCCTTTCCATCATTAGACCTGAGACTTATCCTATTCACAGGCAGCTCTGGCCTGTGGGACTTGGGATGAATACATTTCAATCTTTTCCTTCTCTCTGGCTCTGACTTTAGGGACCGGCACCGTTGGCTGGGTTATCAGTCTTATTGCATATCCAGAGAGATCCATCATGTGTGAGCTCTGCTCCAGCACATGCAGACTTTTGACCACTTTTTTTTTTTTTTAATGCTGCGGTGCATTGATGCAAATGATGGGAGTAACGGTGGATTTCCAAGAAAATATAAAAACAGAGCAGTCTGGAGGAGAAGAAAAAAAAATGGTTCTAGAAAAAAAAAATTCTAGAAAAATGAAGAAGGCAAATTAAAATATGGATCCAGATCCGGTGATACACAAGTCTGACATGAGAAACAGCACAAACGCGTAAAAGAATCCAACTGGGTCAAAAATGGTCGACACTCTTGGACTGACATTTGAGAAACATCCAGGAAAAATCCAGTTGTGTGTCAAGCTGCACTGCAGGCCTCCGCTCATGCAGAAGTGACTGTGCATGTGCTTATTATGCACAGCTGTGCATGTATTATAAAGACTTCTGAGGAGAGTTGTCTGCACCGTAGGACCGGAGGGAAAAGAGTTTGTCCTTTTGTGCAGCATCTGTACATTTCTTTCCTTTTCCTTTTTATTTGCATGTAAAAAAAATACATTGTCTCCTCTTTTTTTAACCACAGCCTAATTCTTGTTGTGACTATAAAGAATCTGAAACAGCTTTTAAACCATCGCAGGACAATATGTTCTCTGGTTTGACAGAGGTTTTGGTGAAGAAACCCTGGGAGAACTTTAATGTTGAGAGAGCGATTAAAACACAAAGTACCGATGGGAATTTATGTGAAAGAAACAACAGAATGAAATGAGATCACTGGTTGTTTCTGTCGTTCATGGTACGCAAACATTCTCTTCACCAGTCTGTTAGACGCGATGACAAGACGAGTCTAAAGGGAGTGACTAAATCAAGGTAGACTAGATGAGACTACAGTGAATACAACTAAACAAGGTGCAACTAGACAAGATGGACCTTAAGACTAGATCATAAAGACGATGACAGGACTAGAAAGAGACCTGGACTGACTCTTTTAAACAAAACAGGACTTGCTGAAAACCTCTTCAAAAAACAAAACCTAAATCTGTACGACTTAGACCACATGTGTCAAACTCAAGGCCCGGGGGCCAAATGCGGTGCGCCAAGCTATTTTGGGAGCTTTACAGCATTAAGTAATATCTCTATTCTGTTTGTCTCAGAGTTTGAATGACATATATTAAATATTAAAATATTGCCAAATTTTCTTCAAATAAAGAAAGTAAACGGATTTGACTGGAAGTAAATTAGTAGAAATTAAGTATATTTTGTGTCCCACTGTGGCCCGATACTAAATGACCTATGGACTGGTACGGTTGGGGTCCCTGAATCTATACAGTCTTTCTAGGGGAACTGTATTGCTGATGTGGCCCCCAGTGAAAATGAGTTTGACACCCCAGACAAACCAAGTCTAGATACATAGACCACACAAACCAACATAACCAGGATTGGCTGGAGCAGGAAACAAGACTAGAGCTAACAAAATAAGTCAAATAAACTGGACCCCATCACAAAATGACACAAAGGTACACAACAAAACAAAACAATGGCAATGTCAGTGTATGTACAAATTAGCGATAGCCGAATACAACTTTTTTATGTTCAATCCTTAAATTTTGACCAACATCGATTAGATGGGACACATAGTACTGAGAGGAGACCTGATGTATTTTCCCACTGAGTGAAGGAATACTGTTAGGTTCTAGGTTTGGTTTGGGTTTAGGATTATAATTTGGGTCAGATTAGAGTTAGGGTAGAGATTAAGATAAGGTGCGTTGGTGGATCTGTACCTGTATCTCTTGTTGTCCACTGGCACGATGTCCATGGCGATGTAATACTGTTGATGAGGGTCCAGTCCTGCGATCTTCACTCTCATGGCAGGAAACATCCTCCTGATATGAGAGAGAGAGAGAAAAACAATGTAACTTGTTTACTCTCCTTTTTTTCACTCAGTAAAATAAGTCGAGTCAAACCTTTTCAATCTAAAAAAAAAACAAAAGAAAAACTACCAGCGTCTAAAAGATGACCGCAGGAATCAGGCAGACTGATGTTATCAGGGTACGTGTCAGCAACGTGCACACTGACCCACCCAGAACACTGTTAAACACACACCACTATGTCTTAAACTAAACAGAACTAAAGGAGAACTCCGTTTTAATAAAATACTGATTTCATGTTTCATCTGTTGTTTGTTGCACTACTGTCAGCTCTCAGATGACATGGTAAGAGAATCTTTCCATATAATAGTTCCTGCACATTGTTTTGGAACAGAAAAAAATGCCACTTTCTAGCCCACTCTTTTAGGCAGGTCTTCCCACATATTCCAGTTCTCCAGACTTGACTGGATATGGTCTGCATGGAGCACCTGTCTAGATCAGGGGTGTCCACACTTTTTTGGCTTGGGAGCTACCATTCAAATGACCCTGCTAAAGTGATTTACCTACGTTGAAAACATAAAATATATAGTTACAGTCATATAAACTGGAAGTATTTTATACATTATATTTATTTATGTATTTATTTAGACACCTGGAAGGATTAAAGCTAAATCAAGAGTATCCTCAAGAGTGAACGCTTGGAGCGGTGGATTTGACGTTCCAGGAAACTGATGAAGAACTAAAGTCCTACCTACACTTGGATCAATGATCTGTGATTAATGGGCTTAAAAAGTAGAGAGTAGAAGCCTAGACCACCACAGTCGCTTAGAAGAAGAAGAAAAAAACCCCATCAGTGACAGGAATTATGAGTGGTCCTTAGTTAACGTCTGAAAATACACCTACAGTCTCTGAGACTGTTCTTCTCAAATGATCAGACTTTGGAATTTACTCCTTGGCTCAATGTTTTGGTGAGCAAAAACAGACACATTTTATACATACACTTCCTTTAAAAAAAAAGAAAGAAATATATCTAGAATTACAATAGTTTTATGATTTAAGAAGTGAAGGCCTACATTGGAGACATTCGTTTTCATTGTTTTTGGCTGTGCAACTTCAAAGAAATCGCACATTTATTTGAATTCATTTTATTAAAAATTTAAACAATAGCCTTTCATTCTTTTCATTTTTTATTGAAATGTTTATATGGATGCTTTTAATCCTCAAAGAATCTCCATCATTTTCAAAGGACTGAATACAAAACAATCCTGATCTTTCACGGTTCAGTGATTAGTTTTTATTTTTCACTTAACGGACCAAATGTTGGTTCTTTTGAAACAACAGTATATAAATGTTGGAAAGACGGTTGACTGTAAAGTGATGTCTGAGGCTTGAGCTGATCCAAACCTTATGGACAAATAAAAGGGGGAAATGGAGACAAAAATGTCACATAGTGAATATGAAGTAACGGCGTGTGTTTTCAACTTCAAATCCTTCTTTTACTTCAAACGGCGGATTTTCCCGTTTTCATTCTGAGCTCATAAATTGCAGTTTGCCCTAATGAGAACAGAGAAGAGGTTTCTGTTCCTGCCCTTCTCCACGGAATTTACGGCTTTATTATGGAGGGAGGAAAGGATTTTATACACACACACACACACACACTCACACACACACACGCACTAAACGTTTTAAGCAGCTACATAAAAAAATAAAATTATTTATTACCTTATTCACTAATTTCATTAATTATTATTTAAGATTTGATCATGACATTAACAGCCTGGATATGAATATTTTATCCGCTAGAATATTAATTTTTTTTAAAAAAAACATCTTTTTTTCAAATGGCTTAAATCATTAAACTGCTGTATAAAAAAAGTCTGGGCAGGTTAATTTTATCTTTTTTTCAAATGACTTAAATAATTAAACTGCTGTATAAAAAAAGTCTTATTTTGAGAATGTTTTTTATTTTAATAATTAATATTGAAACCGTGTTTCGCCGAATGTATTTTCTGTGCTCAGTTTCAATTATTCGTTTTGCCAACAATAATATTTGCCCAGATTAAAAATTATGATGTAATACAATATTGCAGTAATTATTTTTTATTTATTTATCACTGTATTTTATATTGTGTTATTTTTGGTTTTGCTATATTATTTTATTATTATATATTATTATATTATTTATGTATTGCTTCTGCTGTTGTTAATTATAAGTAATATTTTAATTAAAAACACTTTTTCCCCGAATTCCATTGTTGTTGTTCAGTCGTTTCCGGGTTAGTCTGTAGTAAATGTTTTGGGGGGTTTTTTTAATTAAAAAAGAAAAAAAAAGAAGAATATTTTTGAAGTGACATAAGGAGTGACATAATGACATTTTGTAGTATAAATTATAGATTGAATGTTTTTTTAACGCATTCAGTAGTTTTATTCCACTCAGTTGATCGGTACAACCTCTGTACCTGATTTTCTGACCTTGTACCAAACTTTTGTCTTTTCTTCTTTCATTCACTGCCTGTCAGTTCGACCACAGCTTAGTCACATCTGAATCTTAACACTAACTTTAACCAGAGTCTCCGACATTGAGGTTCTGCATCATTAGTACCAGGCCCTGGTCCCTGTGAATGACTACTGCTGCTGAAATGGCTGAAAAATGGCTCTCGCAGAAGAAACACACACACACACACACACACTCGGGGTGTTAATGTGTTGCACATTGCGGGCCTCTGTTGCTTCATGGCTCTGCAGGTTATTCCTGATGTTTGCAGTTAAAGCTGATTCTAATTAATCGCACCAACACAGAGAGAGAGAGTTCTCTGTTCCAGAAAACTATTAACGATACTTAATTAGGAAAGTGAATAAATGTCGATCAATTTGTCGGGTATTTTAAACGGAAATTTGCTTCTTTTTGACTATAATCATACCTGAACTAAGTAGTTCAGGTATGAACTATCTAGATAGCTAATTATGCTAATGTTTCCATAAGATATTTGTTTAAATTTATGGGAAACGTAATTGGAAAATGTCCAACTAGGCTCCTGTATAAAACAAACGTCTCTTATTTTAAACCATGTGGGTGTTTGTCAGACATTAAAATATAATTATCTATATATGTGTGTGGGCTTTTCCCGTTTCGAATAAAATACGTTTGAGACCAAGGACAATCTTAATGTCCATCCCAGAGTCAGAGCAGCGGTTTATTTGGACAAAAAAAAAACGAAAAACATTTTTTTCGACACCCTGTCAAATATCTCTACTAATAAAATATATCGACGTGCGTAAATTATTTTACAGTCTACTTGTAGTTACTGTGTGATATTTGATATTTATATAGTAATTGTACAGTGTCTCCTGGAGACTGAAATAAAAAAAACATCTTAATATTTTCTGGTTTGTTCTGTTTTCTTGTGAGTTCTGAGCTGCACAGTGTTTCGCGCTCTTTTCGTGAATGCGTTTGTTTTACCTTTTTATTTATTTTATTTAGGTATAAAAACTAGACTATTTTGATATTTCTGGACAACCGTCAGTCTAATAAAGACGGTGTTGACTATTGTTTGTTCTTTAAAATAAATTGCAAGTGAAAAACATGGCCTGTTGAAAACTGCGTATAAATGATGGTGTCGTGTGTGTTTGCTGAGGGAGAGACACAGAGAGACAGAGAGAGAGAGAGCCGTACCTGCCCGCCTTGGTAATGATCATCTCGGTGCCGATGTCGTGAAAGCGCTTCCACAGGTCCGCACACTGCAGCTCCATCTGGATCTCCTCCATGGACGCCGGGGGTGAAGGCTCACAGGGGCCCGGGGCCAGGTCAGCGGGAGAGCCAAAGGAGCACGACGTCCTCTCGGCCAGACCCTCTCCGTCCGAGCCGGGACTGGCCTCAGAGTCTGTGGACAGAAAATGAAGAAGATGAAGAAAATCTGCAGGACTGTTTCGCGCTCTCGGACTTTTACGCAGGAAACTTGGCACGGCGGTTCCTCTCCAAATCACCTGCCGTCTGCAAGCTCTGGACCGAGGCAGAGACAGAGTCTGGCTCGGCTCAGTCCTGCACTTTTTGGACTTTTGGGCTGGTGTCAAAAACAGAGTAAATGTAGCGTGAAAGGTCTTTGAAATGCAGTTGCAGAAATATTAAAATTTAAATCGGGCCACACAATGAACGGATTCCAGTGGGGAATTAAATGTTTTTCAGGATCGGGTTTTTTTCCCTCCTGGACCAGGGTTTTACAGACTGACCACCATCAGACGTCAAGACTGTAAGAAAATAAGGCTTTTGGAGAAAAAGCCTGAAAGAAGTCCAGACCTACAGGAGAGGTTTCTCTGATTCACTTCACACAACAGTTCCAATGATCAGGAAGTGGAGGACATAACAACACACTTCTATATATTCCCAGAGCTCTCACCGTGGTCTTTTGGAGGAAAAAAAGGGTTTGAAATAACACCGCATTTTTTATTCTTTTACTTAAACTGGAATTACGTCATCACCATAATTTACTGTTATCTGCTGTTTTTCTGTGGCAAAATAATCTAAGCTCTGGTTCAGGGTCCATTCGTGGCAGCTAAAATCCTGTCTTACACCTCTTTCACTTGATGAACTCCCATGACTCCATATATAGCTTTATAGGAATATATTTTATTTATATTTTTGGTCACTTTAACGACATCCATCAATTTTCAGGAACATTTTTCATGGGAAAGTTTTGATTTTTGAAGAACAGGGGGTACTGAAGTCCAGGTTTTCTTGCTAGCGTACAATTTTTTAGGGTCCTTTGCTAACTTTTACAATTTAAGCTAGAAATTAACGTGTTTTGCTAACTTTTACAATTTAAGCTAGAAATGAACGTGTTTTAGCAACTTTTGCTACATTTAAGTTTCCTTTTGGCAACTATTCTGACTGCATATTTAACTTTTCTTAGGGCAAATCTTTATCTTGTAAAGATAATTTTTTTAACTTTTTTTATTTTACTGCATTATTTCATCTCATCTTAGTTCAATCACCTTTTATCATCTCTCATCATCTGACTTCTTGTGTCAATTTATCTAATCTCTACCATTTACTGATAATGACGACATGTTTTTGGATGACGGGATGTTTCACTCGACCTCAACTCGACTTGAAAGCCTTTTATATGGAATGTGAATCATCCCCTTTTTTCCCCCCCAAACCTCCTCTTACTTCATTTATCCACATTGGACTGACGAGATAATTGTCCAAACGGCTCCCATTTCACTTTTCTCAGAAATACTTGATGGATGAATATCCCACACACCCATCACCAATACCAACCAGCAGAAATGAAGGAAAGAAAAGAAGAAGAAAAATCGAATAATTTATTATTTATTGAGGAGCCTGACATGAGCAGCTTGACTTTGGCAGAGCGAGGGCACCCAAATGTGATTATGCAAATGCTTCAGAGCTGCTGAGAGGCTGGACACAGGCCCAGGAGCAAACCACTGGAGCGGGGACCGAGCCAACGCTCCTGGAAGCGAGAGCACAGAGAGAGAGAGAGAAGAGATGGAGGAGGATGAAGACTGTAACGACAGAGGAGTGGGCTGTACAGTTCCTGTTAGAACTCTACCCCACCAATTACTACTCATTAGTACAATCTCCAACAAGAACCTTACCTCCTGACATGACAGACTTCTGGCCTTTGCCTCAGAACTTTAGGAATAAGACACTGATCTTCCATATCATAGTCATCTTCCATATTATAATATATATTTATCTGATCCTGAGCCAAATCACCACGTATTGATACTTCAGATTTACTGTATTTATCAAAAATACCTAATTAAATATATATTTATGTCTGGGAAAAAATAACTAAAAGATAGAACAGAGTTGTTATTATGTCACCGTAATCAATCAGTAATCAAAGTAGAGTTACATTAACTAAATAATAGCAATTATTAAATTGGAAAATGAAGGGGGGGCGCAGGTAAACATTGTTAGTGAAAATATATTAAATTTAGCCACAAAAAAATAACAAAAACATTTGATGAATTTGCCAATAGAAAAATCACAGCAAATTATCTTAATGAAAGAAGCTTCGTTAACAAAGAGGCATCTACCGAGTGTGTGAAGAAGAAGAGGAAACACTGCTTCTCAGTGAATATGAGTAGTATTGCAATAAAATGTGAAAAAAAAAATGAATCTGTTAAAAGAAATTCATGCATTTTTTGGACACCCGTGCTGTATCATTTATTGTTTTTTATTATTCCTTTTTATCATCTGTGCTTACTCAGTTCCTGTGGTTTTGTCTGCATCGTGAGGTTTATCTAATAGGTGGGTTGATCCATAAATCAGTTGGTTTTACGAAGCAGATATGAATGCATGTTTGTCATGGTCATCACTTAGCGAGTTCAGGAACCTTTTTATATGAATGCTTTGCTCTCAAATGATCCAAAACGACACTCCATCAGCCAAATAAAATGTGGATTTTGGTTGTTTTTTTATCATCTCCATGCTGAGGTGTGTCCAGAAAATGGACTCTGTGATTTTTATTTTTTGGAATCAAAACTGAGAGCAACCTGGGGAGCCACAGAGAGCGACTCAGTCATATCAGCTGGAGGCATCAAAACCTGGATGTGTGTGAGGAACCCAGGTGTTCGCAGGAAACAGATGGAATGCAGGAGGAAAACCTGATCTGAATGAGATAGTCTTGAAGGAAATACTAGAGAAGGGAAATGCAAGCGAAGGGAGGGCAGACGTGGGACTGTGTGTCCCGGTCCAGACTGTCATCAGGCTCAAGGACCTGTCCACACATGGTTCTGGAGTCTAACATTATGGCCAGTTCTTCCACAGCCCACACTCTGAGAATAGCACCAAAAGCTGTGAATTTGCTCATGAAAAGCTTCAGCTTTTAAAGCTGAAATGACATTTATTGGTGGTCAGAAATGCGCTCGGTCAGCAGAACGCACTCAGGGACACTGCGCTAACTTTCCTTCAAACCTTGACCCCAACCATCCCTGACCACAACCAGTGGATGCTGAGTCCTGACCACAGCCCTGTCACATCACCATCCTCACTTTAACCAGAAACCTCAGAAATGAGGTTCTGTCTCATTAGGACCAGGTTTGTGATTCCCCCTGAGGGACATCATGATGTTGAAAATGCCAGTGTGTAAAAACCAAAATCCCAAAAGGCAACAATTAGGTATCAACAAGAGTTCTAAAACTGGTTAGAAACCAGCAAATGGGTTGTGAGAGTAACCAACTTGGAAGTTCATTCTAGTGATTTAAAATTTTGCTAATTAATATAATGAGCCTTTTAAATCCAGCCTGACGTTTCTCAGTCAGGACACCTGGATAAATTTTATATGACCCGTAAAATATGTTTCTGGGGCATTTTGGGTCATTTTCAAGGCAGAAATATTAAATGTAACTATGGTTTACCTCAGACTTAGCTATGTGTAGCTCTGATGTTCCAAGTCTAATTTTTTTCTATTTTATTGTTGCTTTTTTTTTGCTGTATTCAGACCTTGAACTGCCAAAACCCAATCTTTTTACTACATTTTTTTTTCTCTCCAAATAATTCTCAGTTGCCTCCGATTTTTGAAACTAAACAGTTAACTCTTAAATATTATTTTGGGATATTTTGGTAGCTGATTGGTCAATATATAGCTATGTTTATAAATAATTCTGTATTTTTTCCTAATCATTTTTGTATTAAAATGTTTTTTTTTAAGTTTAATATGTTAGGGATTTAAAGCACAGAAAGAGGAGGAGAGGGAAAAGTCAAGTCTAAGACTAAAATGGGCCAAAATGATGAAACGGAATCGCAGATCAATAAAAGGAGACTGGTGGAGAGAAATGTGAAATATTTAAGTGCCTAAGAGTCAGGATGGAATCTGAATAAAGGAATAAAAATAACCAATAACGGCCTCGCTGTAAAGAATTAACTATATATATACTGTATATATATATATATACATATAAGTTAATTGTTTACATATATATATATATATACGCAATATTAGCTGCACCTTCCCAAATGGTAGACAACATAGAATTCCCACTGACACCAATTAGGCCCACAACAACTACTATAACTGTTTCACCCCGCGGTTACTTTTTCCAAATTTGTTTCTGTCCAGACGCACAGAGCTTTTTGTCCGAGTGCAATTTAAAAAAAACTTTCCAGGTAAATAAAACGTCTCACTTTCAAATCTGTGGCAAACTTGGATTTGAAAACTGCCGCCTCGTCCACCGGTGTGGTTGTGCAGTAAAATAGTGTCCTGTGTTGGACTCAAATATCTGAATCGGTCGCCACAGGTTTTCAATGACAGCCTTCAAGCACAGACCTGCGCTGCTCTGAAAGAAATACTGCTGCACAAACAGGATTTTGTCATCTCCACACACGAGGAGGTCGGAGATGCGGCCCATGAAGCGGACTATTTATGGCGGTGATTGCGAATTTGGCAAAGAGGCAGCACATTTCTGGAGTGTCCACTAGTGATAGGCCAAACCATGAAATGACTCAGTAACCCAATCTACACCTGCCTCCACGCTGATGGAGACCCCGGCAGTAAAACCTTCAGTCAAACGGTAAATAATTATGTACACACACACACACACACACACTTCACATCAGCCTGTACACAAGTGAAGAGTTATCGAACATTCGGGTTAGGGTCATGGGTTTTATTAGCTAAAACATGTTAATGTTATTTGTTATACATAATTAGAAGTACTCCGGAGTTTTATAAATGTAATAAACGAATTAGTGCTTAGAAGGTGAACATTCTCTCCTAGGCGAAAGGCGCCTATGAAATAAAATGTATTATTATTGAGTATCGGGTTCGAAGAGTTACTGTGCGTAGGCCTGTGTTCTTCAGGAGTCCTGCTTACAACTGCAGTTTGGCAAAGTGGAGTGTCTTCACCATTTTGACAAATTAGTGGTGTTAATGGCTTTATTTGTTTTGGTATTTGTGACGTAGTTTGGGCATAAAAAGTGAATGTTCCCGCCTTGTACATCTCAGACTCGGGTCAATCCATGTTCCCGCCTTGTACATCTCAGACTCAATCATAAAGTGATTGCGTCAGATTAGGAAATAAAGATAATGTAGTTTTCTTTTTTGCGTCAGTTTTACTGTCATGTTTTGAACGAAAGTTTTATTGATTTATTAATATTTATTTTTTGGGGGGGCGTAAACGATGCGTAAATAGCAAATAGAATTCACTTCTGTTTACAGTACCGCCTCGTGCACTGACATGTTGTATTTGAAACTATCTCGATGCCTTTAAATCAAGACAAAGTGTGTTTAGTACATTAAAAAGTACGTCAACTACGTAATAGAGTCAGACAGAGCCAATACTTGGGGTCCAAAGTTCTTTGTAACATCACTAAAGCATTTATTATCTGTTAAAGACCACGTTATATAAATGTGGTGGCCTTTTAAAGGCCTGCAAACCTCAGAGATCTCTGTACGCTAACATTTTACATTACATTACATTAGTGTGGAAGATAGATAGTTATGAAGAATTCGTGTGTCGGAGATCACGGTCACGACTCCGTAACTGGATTGCATTCCTTTTTGGATCATCTTTTATACGTGTAATTAGAAAGGAAAGTGTTTACGCGGTGTGCGCATAATTTGTGCGCAAAATTTCCGCTTGTAAAGCGCATATTTGGGTCAGACCTCTGCAGAATCCTGGCGTCAGGTTTGAGGATAAAGTCAATAGAGGCCTGGGTGGGTCAGACTAGGTCAGGACTACAGTCAGGACCTGGTTTAAAATGATCTATGTACTAAGGGTCTGAGGTCAGATGACTTACGGTGGTAGTCCAGAACATATGTGAAATATATGACTTCATTATGACGTGTCATCTGCGTAAAATGTTGTATTTATCGCTGTAGAAAAGTATACGAGGGTCCGGCCCTTGTATACAAGATGAACGCATCTTGTAGTAGTACTCAGAAGTACCTGAATAAAATCATTCATTTGTGTGTGTTTGTTTGTGTGTGTGTGTGTATAAACAGTAAAACAGTCCACTTGATCCTGATGGATTCAAACCAGCAGAAAACGTGTTTATGGTGATTATTTTCGGTGCGTAACAGGTGAATTCTCACCCTATAAAGTACGTGTTTTTGGGCCAGGCCTCCAACAAAATCGGGGCGTGGGGTTTGACGTTACACTGGATGTAGGCCCGTGTGTCGGCGCTTAGAATCACAAGTCAAATATTTGAGTGAGTATTTTAACTGTCACGGCAGTTCTAATCGGCAGAAACGGCGTTTACGGTGATTTTCTTTTTCTTTTTTTTCTGTGCGCAATTTGCGCGTAAAAGGTGAAAATTCTCACCTTATAAAGCCTGTGGTGCTGGATGTACTTTGACTTGTTTACTGTCGCCTTCTGGGCGACGTTACTGATATGTGGTTGCATATTTTTCTCGAGCTTTCAAATCTGAAAGACATTTTTTGTACCACCGTTTTGAGCATGGTAAACGCGCGCCTGTGTGTGCGTGTCTCTCTGTGTGTGTGTGTCAAAGAGTGTGTGCGTTACTCGGTCCTTCCCATGAAGCTAGTAAACCTTGTTATATGAGCAGGCGGCTTTCAGACTCGACTGGAATTGAGTGAAAAATAAAATGACTTCGTTAAGATTCCTGAAAACCGCATGATCTGACCACAGAGACTCACTGCTCTGGGTCACTGCTGTGTCCAACTACACTAGGCTTCATAGGACCAGAGCCGGACGACGTCAACCTGCCAGGAACTAATGAGCAGGGCTGGGACTGTCTTTTTCAGTCCACCAGACGACCTCTTAATGACAGTTAATAGTCTATTAATGTTTTTGCTCATAATCTAACAAACACAAATAAGTTGTTTACTGTTGGCACGGACACAATTAGATCCCTTTCTCCTTCCGCCTCTAACCGCAGCAGCGCAGACGCGTTTGAATAACAGGCAGCGACGACGTCAACAATCGCTCAATTCATTCGACTAAATGTCGTGTCCCTCCTCCAATCATCCCTTTCAGTGATATACGTGTCTTTGTCACAAAGATTTATTATTTCAGTCACTAACAGCAGCACTTTGACACCAGGGAGCAGCCGTGCGTAACTACGCAGCGCCCTGGAGGTCAGCAGACCTGCAGCAGGAGCAGACAGTCGACCCGGGGCCGCCTGAGCAAAATATAGACGGGAATCATCATCTCTTCCTCTGTGTATTTTTTATTTATTTATTTTTCTATTTGCATACATAATATTTATGAAAATTATTTTCAGATTTTTCATTTATACATTTCAAGATTTAAATATAAAAATGGTAAAAGACTACTAATGAATCCACACGAAAATATTTTTAAAACTAGCTTCTGTTTTTTACAACTTGAGTGAATTACTCTTTAAATTACTTTTTTTAATTGATTTTTTAGCTGAAATTATATTGTCGGTCTGTACCTGGGTTTTACAGCTCGTGTTAAAGATCCCTCAGTTTCTATTTGGTGACGCAACCGGCTCGTCTGTTTGAGTAGTCATTTCCAAACATCCATATTTTCTTTCACTCAATGCAGAAATCAATCAGGAATCATTTCTGTTCAGATTTTAAAATAGTTTTAGCCTAGCCAAATGTGTGGCCCTGGGGACGAACCGTGTGTAAGAACACAGCGCCCAGAGGTCAAACCCCGCAGGGCCGGTGTATTACAGTAGAATTCAGGTTTTTAAAAAAACGGATTTACAACAATATTTAAGGTATATTTTTAAGCAAGTTTAAATTCTGATTTTCCCTATACTTAAAATTAACGCGCGCTTTCCTAAACGGTGTGTTTGGTTTTCAGGAATACTTGAATCTAAAAGTACACTAAAATGTAAAAAAAGTCTTATTTTAGTTGAGGAAAATAGTAATCTCTCACATCTCACAATAAAAAAAATCAAAAAAATATTTTTAATCATTATTGTATGATTACCCGTTTTACATTAACCTCTGTAAGGGTTTATTTTGTATGCAATCGGAATTAAAAGTATTAGTTCTACTCCAGTGGGACAGAACACGTTAGTCATTTTGAACACAACTAAGAAACAAGTCCTAAATGGAATTAAACTCCTCTCTGTGCTCGCAATAAACACTGGATCTTTCGCGCTCGGCCCCAAAACAAGCATCTTCACGACACACACATACGACCACGCTCGTGCACAGCAGCTGCTGTTATTTCTTTTACGTAGGACATGTAATTCTATCTGCAAGTTTTTGCGCCTTTGGGTGAAAATTTGGAGAAGGGCAGGGATCAGGTATGGATGCCAAGCCGAGGCCTCGCGTCCAGGCCTGCAGCCGGAATCCCAAACGCTGAGACACCGACCCGACTCTGCTGTGTCCTTGTTGCTGTCCTGTCTTTAACACCATAACACTGTCAATCCACCAGCTTAGAGTCAAAACATGGACAAACCAACCCACCATGAACACAGAACACACTAATCACTTCACCACATGCTGCAGTAGTATTATGTTGTGTATGGTATTTTCACCCTGAACGTATATTTTAAGATTTGATTTCTCCCTGAAACGAACGTGTCTCATCCCTGTCCGTAAAGCAGCCTGATGACTTGTCCTTAAGTGTTTTGCAACAACTGCAGTGGCAGCGAAAACACTGTTTCCTCTAAAAGGAGGAAGGAAGTTTTCCACAATCACATCAGCTGAAAACACACTGCTCTGTCACGGACTGGGCCACTACAGTAAAGTTTGGACTAGGAATTGGTTTTAAAAGGGAAAAGATTCCGGATTTTATGGGCGGTGTGAGTGGCACTGACCCGGGTCCATATCCAGACAGTGCGCTGCGTCCTCTCCGTCCGTGCCGAGGCTCTCCATGGACAACTCCAGCTCCTTCTCCTCCCAGCCCCGGAGCTTCCTCTTCTTGTTGGAGCCGATCAGGGCTTCCACGGAAAACGCGTGGGCTCTTGAGCTCAGAGCTGCGGCAGATCGCCTCCTCTCACTCATTTCTCTCCTAAAAAATCCACCCTAGAGAGGGCTTTGGGAGGACGCGGCGAAAAAGACAAGTCCGTCCGTCCAAAAAGCGCAGTCAAATAAAACTACCCTTCTTTAAAAAAAAACAAAAACAACAACAAACAAACAAAAGTGAATGTGTTTGTTTGCAGCGTGGCGCAAACTCACCAAGTGTCCAGAGTAATCCCAACTGTGACTAGAAACGCCGCGTCAAATGTGCCATGATCCCGGGGTTTTTTTTACGCACGAGATCGGGTCCAGACGGATTCGTCAGCGGTCAGTTTTGGATGCGAGTCCACTCTGCTGCTTTCTTTTTCTCCTTCTGTCTCCCCCCCTAAACTCCTCTCTGATTGATACTCACTTCTGGAGGAGTTTTTTTTTTCACGCTCTCAGAGGGCGGTGACTCCTGATCCCTGTCAAACCCGGGCGTCCAATCAGGAGTGAGGACGGAGTAGCGGGCGAAGAGACGCTCCCAATGACGCGCGCATGTGGACGGGGAGCAGAGGAAGACGGCTGCAGAGGAAGACTAATGAAGCGACTCTGTCATTGTTGACTGTGGGAAAATCATGGGCACAGCGGAAGGGAAGAAACAGATTTGATATCGTACGGTTCTGAACAGATGAACTCGATTTAGAATCATTACATTGGCTCGACACAATTACTGTACAAATAGTCCTAAGGCACCGAGGTTAAATGATCAACTCTGACCGTGATAGTCTGACCTGTCTGTTCACCAGAGCCTTACAGTCTCCATGGCACAGATCGTGGTCTTCAGCTCTCTCACATGTGTTCTCAGTCCTTGGGCCAGTCAAAATGAACGACGACTGTTTTGTTGTTGTTGTTATCATACTCTAAAACACCGAAAAGTTTGGATGCATCCCAGTCCTACCTGCTTCTCTCTGCATCTTTCGTCTTTGTCCAAATATCGACGTCTACCTTTTCCCAATCCGGTCCAATATCCTTCTTAGAGACTGTCTCAGTGTC